AACAAACAAACAAACAAACAAACAAACAAACAAACAAACAAACAAACAAACAAACAAACAAACAAACAAACAAACAAACAAACAAACAAACAAACAAACAAACAAACAAACAAACAAACAAACAAACAAACAAACAAACAAACAAACAAACAAACAAACAAACAAACAAACAAACAAACAAACAAGCTAGTAGTGGTTGTGGACTTGAACTTTATTGCCAGATTACTAGTTTTCATGTACGTCCTCCACGAGCCTTCTTGCTGAGAGCAACGAAACACATCCTGACCTCCCTTCTCTGCACCTTACCTCATCATAGTTCCCTCTAACCCACAGTAATTTCCCGTTTCTCTTAAAAAAAACACAATTGTTCAGCCATCCGTTTCCTGCTTGTTTGCTCATTATCAGCCCAATCTATTGAGTTATCAATCTTGCCCATTATACACAACAGTAACCATGGCAGACGACAAAGCATCTGATACCGGCACGGATACTTCTTTCACCAGCGATGCTGAAACCATGAAGAAAATGATGATGGACACCAAGGTAGACGGTGGAAAATCCGCTTGGGCCACCACACTGGAAACCTTTGGAATGAGTGATGGAGGCAAGAACAAAAAGATGGATGTGCTGACCTCTGTGATAGTTTTGCTGAAGCCATGAAGATGTTTTATGATTTGGTGCAAGATAAAAACTGGGAGTTTGCGACGACACCCTTTGAGGATTTTAATGCCACCAAAGAACAGCTATTCCAAGCGTTTGTGCACTGGTCTCGCAAGAGTGGAGATGACGGAGAAGCAGCAACAACTTACAATCCTTCCAAGGCACTGCGATGTTTGGAAGCGTACGTGGAATGGATGGATAAGAATTGCCAGGATATGAATCTCAAGGGAAGCACCATGGTCGAGATTGCTGAAAAATTGAAAACAAAAATCACACACGACAAGAAAGGACGACTCGTTTGGTGGTTTGATATTGGTGGCTTAGTTCTCAAAGATATCAAAAAGAATGTACCTCCTGAAGATACGCTCCGTTTTTTTGTCTGGATGTCACACTTGGTCCTTTTTGACAAGGGGTCACAGGAAAATGGATTTGTCTTTGTCGAGGCATTCGGAAGAAACACGGGTATGATGGAGATGTTCACTGTCGTGACCATGGACTTGAGTACCAAATTGGATCGGTTGACCATTGGTAAGCTCCCTAGAATATACTTGACACAATAAATTTTTGCAACCGAATACGTCGAGGGGAGCATACTGAGTAACTCATCCACTTCACTTTGCTTTCTGTGTTTTAGGAATTCTGCCAGTCAAGATGGAGAAATGTTGCTTTCTGTGTTTTAGGAATTCTGCCAGTCAAGATGGAGAAATGTTTTATTTACGACAATCCGACTTGGATTCGCGTCATGATGGCCTTGCTGTCACCATTTCTTACGAAGAAAATGAAGCAGCGAATCGTTTCGATTCCCAACAAGGCAAACCCCATGGAATTTTTGGAAGAAGAGGTTGGAAAAGACAATATTCCCGTTGGAGTCACACACCTCGAAGGGACTGTGGAGAAAGATTTGGTGGCACAAACTCTGGAACGGCTGACGAGTGTGATCACTGATGAGGTTGAAACCTAGATATAAAGACAATCCATGATGTAGCAGCATGCTATGCGTTGAGACAACAGTAGCTGTATATTTTACAGATTCAGAAAGGCTTTCTATATTTTAGACTGATAGCATAACTTTAGAAGACTACATCATCCCATCTCGTCGTTCGTCGCTCGAAACACGTTCTAGCAGCGCATGCACACGCTTTTTGACCGTATTGATTTGCTTTTGTGTTCCTTGTATGAGCAACACCCGTCGCACCTGATCGACATGCATCTTGGTTCCTGTCGCTCGCTGCATCGAGATAATGGTGGCTCCTCGGCGACCAATCACAATTCCAACATGATTTCCCAGTTCAATTTCATCCGTCAGAATCTCCTGACTTTCCGAGTCGGCGGCATCTTCATCGGGCAACCCAGCCGTGCTTCCCAATCGATTGCGAGCCCAAAACTTGGTTTGTCGGTCGTTGCTTCCCGTGGCCAGCAAACCACCATAGGGATGCCACTGCAAGGACCAGATTGCCATATCGTGCGCAAAGGGGATCTTGGCCGCCGGTTCCTCGCTGCCTTTGGGACCTACATTCCAGTAAATGAGTGTTCCATCCATCCCACCAGATGCAAAGACGTTCTCGAACAAGGGATGCCAGGCAATGGAAGTCACTTCCTTGTGGTGTCCTTTCATCGACACCAACTCTTTCATGGCTCGGATATCGTAGAGTTTGATTAACTGATCTCGGCTTGCCGTGAGTAGCCAATTTCCATTGTCATTCCATGCCACCTTGGTGACTGTGTTTTTGTGTCCATAGAGCGTGCTGAGTGTAGCTCCCGCCCGTGGATCCCATAGTTTGACGAGATTGTCTTTGGATCCACTGCAAATGACACTGGATCTTGGATGCCACTGGACGCACTTGACATCCCACCCATGTCCTTCTAGTTTTCTCTCTTCTCGATGGGATGCCCAGTCCCAAACTCGGACCGTGGCATCGTCTCCCGCCGATACAAATTTGGTATCGGACGGTGAGAAACTGAGGGCATGGATGGCTTGTTGATTGTGTGAATCTACGGACTGGACGGGAGCAATACTGGGACTCCAGTATTTGATGTTTCCTCCAGCATCACAAGTCAGTAAGAAATTCTTGTTGTGTGACCTAAAATAATGGAATACATGAAATGAGTTGAGATGAAGAAAATAGAATGGAGAAGGAACAGACAGTGTAAACTAACATAAAAACATCTTTCACTCTTTTACTTACCACTCCATGGCTCGAAAGCTGCTGTCATGTGCACTCATGATCAATTCAAAACCAAAGGTAATACCATCCCACAGTGTGAATTCCCCTTCTTGATTTCCCGTAAGCAATCTCCTTCCTCCGGGTGTCCAGCTGAGGCACATGATGGGCGTGGAGTTTTTGGCTCTGGTCACATGAGCTAGAAAGGTACAAAATGCCATGGAGTTGACTGGATCTGCGACGGTGGAGATGGGCATCCCCATGAGACGGAGTGCCGAACTATGTGGTTGCAGAGAGGGATGAAAGGATCTGGCATGGCTGGACCTGGATGCTTTGTGATAGAGCCGATTCTCAATGTCAATCACGGCGGGTACGTGATAGTCGATACATTTTCGAATCAAGTTGCGTTCCGCAGCTTTTTGTTCGGCATCTTCTGCTTCTTGGTTGTTGCTCACGCTCTGATGGTGGCCGCCTCCTCGTCCTCCTCCTCCTCCTCCATGGTAACCGCCTCTTCCGCCTCCTCTGCCTCCAAATGACATGGTTGGGTTCTATCGCTGGCAAGACGGGTTGTTTGGAAACTTCATGTTGCAAAGGTCGGTCTCTGCCACACCCTTTCGTGTAGCTCTAACCTTACCGTAGTCCACTACGCGGCAAATTCTGCATGAAAGACAAGACGACCAAGACCTTGATCCAAGCACAAACCAAGTATCGACCATGACAGCTTCAGGAGAGGAAGCAAGAGAATCGGAAGGATCCTGGATCCCTCTGATTGTAATTCTGGTGTTGGTATTTCTGCGGTGGCTGGCGTATGGGACAGGAAGTGTCCCTATTCGATTTCGTCGATGGTACAATATCCAACGAGTGCAGCTCCGAAAACAGTTGGGATATCGAGATGAGAGCATTTACCGACCAGGCACGGCGGGTGACGGGGCCAGCAAGAAACATAAACGACAAGGATAGAACGAATGGACCTGAGAAATCTTTGTATTGGAGGAATATTGGATGCCGACCGTATAAGAAGGAGATGGGTTCTGGGTATCACCGGTTTCCCCGTGGTAGCAACTGCACTGCATCAACCGGCCACGAGAAAACCAAGGACCAAGGATACTTCGAGACAGACTTCGAGATGGGCTGGCCATGCAACAATCCGAGACAGACTTCCTCCTCAAATAATAATTTTTGACTAAGACAACCAATCTGCATTTCATCGTTTCTTCCGTTTAGTAAATGGAATGGGAAAATGAAGGCAAAGATTGAGTAAACATCGTTCTACGTACGTACCGTACGGTATCATGATCGATCTCCTTCTGCTGATTGATACCGGCACATGTAAAGGTTCTTTCTTTAGCTCATGCTTCTAATAAAAGGATTGGTTTGCAAATCCTGTCGCACTATAGTCTAATTGTGTCTAGCTAGCTAATGGAACGGATTGGTCAGATTGAACCATTGATTCAATCATTCGATTCGCCCACTCATCCAGGCTCTATTCTGAAACTCTGGGAGTAGAGCTACTACTGGTTGCTGGCTAGAGATAGATATTGCATGTCCTGAGGCAATCAAGTTTCTGTCAGCAGAGGGGGGAAGTCGTGCAGGAAAGCAGTGCAACACATCGGATAAATCATCATAAAACCTAATGTTGCCTTGTACAATTTGCATACAAATATGTTTCAATTGATTATTCATCTTACTTGCTTTTGAGTGGCTGATCAGCAGCAAACTAGCTAGTAAAGTACTGGCTAGCCAGCTTCCAGATGTGATGTTGAGCTGGAGAACCAGTAGGAAATGAAGGGTTGCCAAGAGGTTTGGAACCAGGAGCACTCAAACTAACATCTTCATTTCCTTTGTCTTGCTTGATCCATTACAAGACATCCTGGTACCTTCGATCACCCTTGTTATGCATTTCAGACCGACTCCAAAAGTAGACTCCCGCAGGAGCACCAAACCCAAAGAACAAAAAGTAATGAAAATTGGCATACTTGGCCTTGAATGTCTTTTCGGTAATTTCTCGTCTTCCATTCCATTCTTCCACAAACTTGTTCTTTTTCAACCAACCCACATAGTGGCGTCTATAAGTATAATAATGGAAAAAGAAAGATGAGAGAGAGATGGATTGGATTTTGGAGGATACAGGTACGAGGTTGAGAGAGAGAGAGGGAGACACACACTGCTCCTGCCATACACAGATCAAGAAGATGACCATAACAGGACGGCTCTCCCATGAACTTCCCGTCATGCCTCCTCCCATGAAGAATCCCAACCAGATGCCATTTCGGGCTCTCACTGCATGGGCACCGCCAACATAGGATCGGCATCATCCATAATTTCATCTCTTCGACTCGTTCCGATCTTTCAAAACAACCCTTTGAACGCACCTTTGAGCTTGAATGGCCAGCGGCCTACTAGCCTTGGAGAGCGTAGAGGGGATCATGGTCAACAATCCAGTCTTCAACAAGCAAGCAAAGGACAGCTTTGATGTCGGTTGTTTGCCGATCGATTTGACTTGCGTCGGTTGCTGTTTTGATGGACGCACCATTGTCACCATTTTGGATTCACTCCCCAGCTTTCCTTTTCATTTCTTAAAGTCTGTTCTTCGTCCGTCAAATCAATTCGATCATCAGCAGGAACCTTCACAATGGCGCTGCCACTTCCTCAACTGCTTCCTTCTATCTCAACTACAACAGTACTACTACTGTACTACTAACCAACCCCATCTATATCTACAACTAGTAACAATATCACTCCACAATGGCCCGTCCCGCCGAAAAAGCCCGAGCCATGCTCAACAAATGGGTCAAGATGCGGGAACAGGGCAACGCACCCGCGATTACACCCCGCCAACAAAAACGACCCCATTTGGCATCGGAATGCGAGCATTTGGCTGATGCCGAATATTACCGCAATCAAATCATTCGCGAAATTACCGCTGGCATTAGTAAAATTCAAGATGCTTCGCTGGGCGAATACACTTTGCGGGATATCAATGACGACATCAACAAGAAAATGCGCGAAAAATATCATTGGAACAAACGGATTCAAGTATTGGGTGGTGTCGATTACAATGCCCTCGAACGCAAACGACAAATTGAAGAAGGCGATCCACTCGCCGGCGCTGCTGGCAATACGTATCGCTATTTTGGCTCCGCACGAGAATTGCCTGGTGTCAAGGAAATATTGGCCAAACAAGCTGTGAAAGCCGTCAAGAAACGAGATTTGTGGAAACACGTGACACCCGATTATTTTGGATGGAGAGACGAAGAAGATGGAGTCTTGGTCGAATTGGAACAGCAGGCTGTAGTACTAGAACAATCATCATCCAATGATAAAAAGAGAAGGAGAGAAGAGGAGGAATTGTTGCTAGCACAGGATTATTTGGATGTTCCAACACCGGCTCAGGTGGAACAAGTGTTATTGGAGCAAAAGAAAAAAGCCATGTTGGCAAAGTTCTCGATATGATAAATGGATTCAATCTACTTTCGTATGCTTGGGGTGGAAAACAGAAAAGGAACAGGGCCGTGGGGAACTTCTACAGTACTGAAGCACAGCTAGTGGAAACATTCAAATTTGACTTTTCCTATCTAATTTGCTTGTGTTGATTGCGGGAAACTGGAGGCTTTGTTGCATCGAGAACCAGTGAATCAATTTACTATCCCCCCGGATGAGAGGAGGACACCACTGCCACATGTCGCAATGCTAAACTAGACCAATCCAACGGAAGAACGGAACAGCCAAGCTGCACCCTAAGAAAAGTTCTACCATACATCTAGCATAACTTAAGCAGTCCTATTACCATGGCGAGATAGATTCTGTATCTACTTGACTCGTTTGAGCAGACGCCCTTGATTTCGTTCAGTGACTTCCCCTTTTTGAATCATCACTTGAAAACATCGGGCCAACACAATCGCATTGTGACCCTGCCCGGCGGCTTCTTCCATGAGTCGACGACGATTCACCACACTGCCCAAATGCATGCGAGCACGCAAGTACTCTTCCGTACGATTCATTTCTTGCTGACTAGCACCCATCAAGGAACTCGTACTATTGTTCTCGTCCACCGCATTCGCCGTCATGGTCGACACTTGAAACAATCGCAGCGCTTCCGCCACATCTTCTGCTCGCACATCCGGATCCAACCGCATCTTGGCCAACGATTCCGAAACGCGCACCAAAGCTTCCAATTGACGGACTGTAATGGGAATGGTAGATTGCGTAAAGTCGTGACCATTGCTACTGTTGGCAATGCCTTGTTTGCGCACATTGTCGCGAATCTTGACATAGTTGCTGGCCAAGACTTCCCCCGCTTCTTCCGTCAGACGGGGAGCGCAACGAGATTTGCAGTATTGAATGTACTTTTTCATGGCTTGGACCGAAAGTTCTCCTTCGCCCGTCGTGGCCACCTGCATCACATTGTCGGCAATGGCGTCCGAGGAATCTTCGGTTGTGGACGAGGAGCTGCAATAATGCACCGGTGGGAAACAAAGATCATGAGGAAAGACATCCGTCACAACTCAAAACACAGCATTTTTTGAACTTACCCGGCTCGGTTCGAAGTGTCATCCCCTGCCATGCCGATAGCCGCCGCAAAGGGATTCGTATTGGCCGCCGACGAACTCGTACCAAGGAATCCGCCGCCACTAGAGCCGGTACTGTTGATATGAACTCCCATGACATGCTGACAAATCATACGATCACGCTCTTCTTCTCGGATATCGCGCACTAAAAAGATCAAGTCAAAACGACTCAAAATAGTCGTCATGAGATCAATGTTCTCCGAGGCGCTCTTGAAATCATCGTAGCGCCCAAAGACAGGATTTGCCGCGGCCAAGACACTGCTGCGACTGTTGAGAACCGTGGTAATACCCGCCTTGGCGATACTAATGGTCTGCTGTTCCATGGCTTCGTGAATAGCAACGCGGTCGGCGGGTCTCTGCCAAACAAAACAAACAACAGGCTGGATTGTTAGAACGCGCAAGGGCACAAGCACACTGTAATAAAGCCTGATCCTGGCCACGCACCATTTTGTCAAACTCATCGATACACACAATGCCACCATCGGCCAACACCATGGCACCTCCTTCCAGATAGAACTCTCCCTTGGCATTGCGCACGACCGAAGCGGTCAAACCAGCCGCACTGGATCCTTTTCCGGACGTGTAGATTCCCACGGGTGCCACTTGGGATGCAAACTTGAGGAATTGCGATTTGGCCGTGGAGGGATCTCCCAACAGCAACACGTTAATGTCTCCACGAAGTTGGACACCATCCTGAAGTCGTTTGCGACTCCCCGAAAAGAGTTGACAAATAAGAGCCTTTTTGATATCCACCGTGTAACTGCCACGCAGACTGGGAGCCATGCTGCGACTGAGAATGTCATAGACATTGGGATTGCGCGACAATGCGACAAAGGCTTCTTCTTCGGCCGGTGTGACCGTGACACTGCCGGCATTGCCGTGCGCACTGTCGTCCTTGGCCATTCCCACCACGCGCAGATAGACCGTTTTGGGGGCTTCCTTGCCGGAACCATCGGATGCTCCGTGCAACAAAGTGGGAATGCACAGGACCGCGACACGGGTTCCAGGAGGTGCCGTATCCACCAAGGCTCGATCGACCGCCAACAAGACACTGCGGGGCATTTCTCCCGTAGGAACCTTTTCGGGTGTTTCTTGGAGTTTGAGGGTTTGTTGATCCACAAATTGCGAGTCATCCGGTACTACCGCATAGGGAAAGATACCGCATTGAGGAGCATTTCCGGCGGCCCCTTCATTGGGATTATCGGCCGCCGCCGCGGCATTGTTGTTGGGGCATCGGACCGGCATGGAAATGGAAGCCCAGGGGCCTTCGTTAAGGGCGCTGAGCGCACGTTCGTGGCCACAGGTAGCACAGCGAACGGCCAACTGGACGGCTCTGGATTTGACGGGGGACGTGGAAATGATGATTCCGGGACATTTCAAGAGACGGTGCATGTGTTCACTCTTGATTTGTCGCAGTGGCGTTAGCTTTAGTTTCCCCTGAAGTAGAATTTGGATGCGAAAAAGGACCTCATCCGTCAACTCGGGGGTATTATTGTTGTTGTTGTTTGTATTGTCGTTATTATTCTCAGTGGCCTGAGTGCCCATGATTTCATCCTCCTCATCGTCTTGACTGTGGTTGTTGTTGGTACCATCACTAGCCTTGTTCATGTCGTAGAGAAGCGACTGAAGAGCATCGGAAGCAGCCTGTTCCAAAGGAGGTAGCATGACGGCTGGCTGGTTCATTAAAAAGCCCAACAAGGCAGGATCGTATTCCTCCAAATGGGAGAGATCCACCTGAAGCTTGGCATTATTGTTCACGGCACCCTTGTTGATGTGATTTCCCAATCGACGGTGCATGCGGAGCAGCTTTTCGCGGTACCAAAAGCGAGCACCCACTTGATAGTTCCTCAAAAACTCGCGAAAATGGCGTCTGGCGGCGGCAAGGTCCACGGCCGTGTCTTCATCCCCCCCCCCATTCACTGCCACACGCAAGGCAGCATCATTGGCGTCTTCATTATTATCATTCCCCTCCGCTGCTGGCTGTTGTAGCTGCTGGTGAGAGTAGTACAGTCTCGTCTCGTCAAAGTCCATTGTCACAAACAATCAAGTGGACGAAGAAGTGGGCAAAATATATGTACTGGGGAGAAAGAAAGAAGTGACAGAAACAAGAGAGCGGTTGTCATTGGCATAAAAGTTGGCGCCAAATTTAAAAGCCAGCAGCAATGCATGAACATCGCAATGTCAGGTTTCTTTCAAACCGTCTTTCCGCAACAAGTGAAGATTGCTCTCTTCAACAGCGTTCCCTGAATTTGGCAGAGCCTCCCCAATACTACTAGCTAGTAGTACTTTTCGGGCTATAGCATGGCTTGCATCAGCACTGCTGGAGCTTGATGTCTCTTGCATGGGTATGACTGAGGTGCGGTACCCCTAGGTCATCTGTGTTGCTGAAGCTAATAGAAAGCAGTACTTGGGAAGGGGGCTCTCGGAGCCATTATCGACAACACGCCCCTGCCATTGCGTGCACGTCGAGACTTTCAACTCAGACAGGCTTGTGTCTTTCTCTTGTGGAAATCGCGAAGCAATCATCAAATGAAATCGAATCGTCAAGTTGTTCGCGGTAAGTTGATTGCGACCGACGACGAATTCGTCAATGCTGAGAAGAGCGGGCGGCGATCAAGGACACCTGCGCCTAGTAGTATGCTCCAGCTACTTGTACCGTTGCACTGATTAGATGTTTGACTGAACCACCGCTGGATGTTCAGTAAAGCTAGCTCATTATTTTACAATTTCATGGTGACTCGCCGGTGACAGTTTGCTAGCTAAACAAATCTGTTCTACGCTGGGGAGAAAGCTACCGGTAGCTAGCCATGATAGCCGAGACGACACAAACCTTCTGGGTACCTGGTGCCCAAGTTCAACCGTATCTTTTGCAAAACGTGCGGCATTATGGCTGTTCATTCGTTTTCTAGAATGGTTCTGTCGTGAACATTGTTTGCACCTTTTCCATATGATACGGTAGTGTGCAACCATCAGCACAGTCGCTGGACTATACCGGCAGAGGCCATCAGGAAAGAGAAGAACTGGCATGCCGCACGTGCCACCAGCAAGCGGAAGCCATCAATGCATTGGCAAGATCATAATCCAGTGGCTTTGCGTTTTCGTCCCCTTTTAGATGCAGCAATGTCTTGTGTGGACATCGGATTGCTCCACTTGGTGGGATATTCTCGAAGCAAGCCATAAAGCACTGCGGTGGTGAAAAAGCTCTGTGTGTCCTCCGACTTTCCATAGTCTTGGGTGACAGTCAAAACGTTCACAAAAGCTTCCATGGAAGCACTTGGATCTCTGGCCACCCCACGACCATAGCGATTCAATGTCGTGTAGTAGTGGATTTGAATGCGTGCTTCCTCCACCTTCGCTGCGTCCACGTCACATCTTTCCCAGCGAGAATTGTTTATCTTATAACCCCAACGAGTGATTCTTGCATTCTCCAAAGTGGTGTTTTTCTGCAGAATGGTCAGGAGATGTTTCAGAAACTCCTTGGCATTAATGTTGGCAAGGTTATCATCGATCTGAAAGTCTTTCACGTTCCGACTCCTCCCGACTGCATCGAAGACTGAGTACCACAACCTCTTGCTTAGCTTACACCTGTGAAGGTGAATAGCAACTTTCTGCACACGTTTGCTGATGACTTCACACAGAGCATGGGCGAAACTCTGGTCTAACTCATGAATTCTCACTATAAATTCTCTATCCGCTACTCCAACAGACAGGACCAACTTCTGGAGCTTGTCCATGCAAGATACAGCCGTCAGGATATCCCACTTCACCGGCGCCTTTTCATCATAAGGTCGGTGGATTCGGCTCAAGAAGGAAAGCGATAGGTCGGTGATAGGGCAGTGTTTCATACCAACAAATGCATCAGAATCCATCAATTCTCCCAAATCGGAAGATGTTGGAGGAACAACGAGATCCATACTGGTAACGCTGCAAGATTCTTTGAAGACTGCAGGAATCAATACCTTGAAGCCCTCCGTTCCCCAATTGCTATGTGAATGGCTCGCGAAATGCCTGACCTTTGTCAAGATCTTGGCTGTGACCGTGGCATTTATTGCTGTGAAGTTGAAAATGGTATCCACAATCTCTGGCCACGTAAATGTGGTAGTTGTTTGGGGGATGAGACCAACAATCATGTCTCCCAGAGCTGTGTTAAACTCAGCTTTGTCCAAGCAAAAGTGGAGGTGGCGAAGCTCGGTCTCATGAGACACTTGGTCGGTTTCAAGTGTGAATGTGTTGGGGGGGAACGCCTCTAACACATCCTCTACCCAAGAGGATAATTCTAGTTTATACGACTTTTTGTATATGTCAAACTGGTTCTCCTCAGCCACACGCTCAGCAGATTTCATAGGCAGACAAGAAAGATCCTTTGTCTGAAGCACTGCATAAAGCAACAGAGATGACATATTCAAGTCTTCCGGAGAGTCCAATGTTGCCACCAGAAACAGCAGCACTCCAGGTGGTGCTCTCTTCCTGAACCCTTCTTCCACAACATCTCGTGTCAGACCGGAAGGGCACCTGTCATACGCCTCCTTCACATCTTCCAGAGGCGCATGGGAGCGTACGAGCTCAAGCAATTCGTCCGACATGCCTTTGCTGCCAATAATGATGTTGGGGGTTGCGGCGTGACACCCAGCCCAGAAGCAACGAAGTGACAAGGCTGCTTTCTCTGGCTTCGAAACGAAAATGACCTGTGGTAGCGATTTATGACTATCCAGTTACCAGATTACTAAAATCAACCACACAACAACTACCAAGTAGTAACACAACTATAAGCAACCTCTTTTCAACACCACCATCAGCCTTTTTCGGCTTATCAGCGTGGAAGCTACCCTAGCGATCGATAGAAGAACAAGCGATAGCAGCAGAAGCGTCGAAGCAACGACCGTATCGGCCGTATCCCATTGTCGAAGAAGATACCGTTCGTTCGGTCGGTTGAAGCGAGTATCCCATCGTCGCGATTCGAAGCTACCGTTTCGGAGCTACCGTTCGAAACAAGAAGAAGAGAGAACGAGAAGAAGAAGAGATCCTATTGCCAGTGTAATCGGCAGAGGAACAAGAGAAGACCCCAAGCGGCATAGCAACAAAGACCTCTCAAGAAGAAGGGGACTCTCAAGTGGAGCGAGAGATAGAGACTTCCAAGTGGGAAGCAGAGGTTGGACTTGGAATATTGACCCTCCAGTCTGGATCAATCCTGCCTCATTGTCACCAAAGAAATCGATTGAGCCAAAGGAAGGGGACGCCTGATCCAAGAGTTTTGGCCTAGACTGCCACAGACTGGGTGTGCAGAGCTCATTCGTGGAATACAGCCTTACTTGTCTGGGTGTGTACAGTTTGCTGTGGAATAGGAGCAGAGAAGAAGACCCAACAACTGTTGCTCATCCAAGGATACCGCAAGAGAGAATAATTGGAGGCGATATGGAGGCAATCTTGCAGCCAAACAACTATCTACAGAATACCATCGTATTGCCGAACTAGCCACGAGGACAGCATTGAATATCAAGGATTGGATGCCTTCGTCTCGCTCGATACCTTTACGATGCTGATATCAAGAGCATCTGCTAGAACGTGAGGAAACCAGGTGGTACCATTCCAATCCAGCCATTGCGGCTGCAGCCATGCCGAAGCTGCCGCAGCAGTTAGCCCAGAGAAGTTCCCAACCGTGGCGACAGCTGGGATTTTCTTTGAGAAGCGACTCAGACAACTACGGTTCTACAATTTCATATGACACGAATCCAGCGTGAGTTCACTCCCACCAAGCCAGTTTGGCGAGATTGAATAGATTTGGGCTTTATACGAGTCCGAACGAGAAGAGATCGTGTTGCGGATCCTCCCCAACTATTGAAGGTCGAAGATGTCCGACGAGTTCTGGAGTCTATTTACAATGTTCTGAATGTCAAGCGAGGCGTTTGCGGTGCCCCTCTGGCTTATGTTACGAGATCCAAGTCACTTTGCCAGGAGCACTTGATACCGACACCGCAGATAGGCTGACCCAGGTTTTGGCCTTCCATCGCATCCCTGAAGAATTGGTCCGAAGAACAAGACATGCCGACCTCATTTCGTACAAGACATCAGGCTGTTTGGGCCATCATTCGGTCAGTTACTCACGGTGGACCTGGTTGGACATGGGCCAACGTTGTGCAGCGCACACAGAACGGTCGAGCAGCTTACTGGCCATGAAGGTTCACTATCTTGGTGATTCGTTCCAGCTCGTACCAAGGCATTCGCGGATAGAGCCATTGAAACCACTTTCTTTGATGGGAAGTCCCGTAACTTCACTTTTGAGCGCTACTGTGAAAGCTTACCAAGGCCTTCACCGATTTGGAAACCGCTGGTGAAACTTTACTGAGAGCCGCAAGATTCGCAAGCTCTGTCCGGCATTACAGACCCAAACCTCAAGACCGCCAAGTCCGTCATTCAAGCACTCCGCATCTACGCGAGAGTTTCCAAGAGGCTATGAATTACTTAGCGAGCAACTTATGTCGCTGAACCCACTCGACCCACAAGAAATATTTCATCTGTGTCTGGACGTGGTCGAGGGTGGTGGAAGAGGACGAGGACGTGGCGGTGGTAGATCCAAGGCCGAGGCTATGGAAGAGGCCGAGGAGGGGACGAGGCCGTGGTAGAGCCATGAAGGCCGGGGTTTTGACCCAATAACCCAGGAAGATATTACCATCCCGATTAGTGGGCTCAGCTCACATCGGCGCAGCAGCAAACGGCTAGGGACGCCCCGATTGGTGACAAGCGAAAGATTGCCGAGCTGCAGACACAGTTTGTCAGATACCCAGTCCCAAGTCTCGGCATTGCAAGCAGAGAAGCGATCCCGGACTGATGTTCCTGGTTGATCTAGCGTGGGCAATGCAATGAATCGGCACGGGTAGGCTGGCAACAGTGGCACATTGTTGACAACTAACTGGTGTTGTCGCAGCTGAGCTGGACAGATGAGATTGTTCTGTAATGACTTGTTAAGCAAAGATTGATGAAGGAATAAAATATAAATTTGAGATGTGAGGGGGTCGTCATAAGCCACAGCCACAGCCACAGTTACAATTGGTACTTCGTGTATGTTTCCAAGATCAGTTGAAAACCCTTCGACGGATATAGTCTCTCCCGTGTAATGTACCACGTAAGCACTTTACCCAAAGGAACATGTATCGGCATAGCTGTCAAGCTCATCCGAGATGATGGGCAAATGAGTAGGCAACGGATCGCAGGAGTGCGAACGGCAAGAGCACTCATGCATC